GCCGCAGCACCTTTCTCCCGCAGCTGGTGCCGAGGGGCCGCGGAGCCCAGCGTCGCTGTCTCTACCGCCCGGGATCCAAGCGCAAAGGTGAGGAGGCAGGGAGTGCGGGCGGCGGCGGGCCCTGAGCCGGGGGAGCGGGAGTCAGGCAAGGCCTTCCCCACGTCCATTCCACTCTCCAAGATGGGCCAGGCCTTTCTCACCGCCAAGTCCCCCGGTCCCGCATAAAGGCTGTAGAGGGGCGCGGGCCAGGCCTCGGACCGCGGTGGGCGCCGACCGGCCACCGAGGATCCGGGGATGGCGCAGGGAGGGGGCCCGCGTGGCGAACAGTGTTCCCTGGGATCTGGGTCACGTCTCCTAATGTCCGGCGGGATCGAAGGAGACCTTGTCCTCGAGCTGCAGCAGTAGGGACTGAGGTTAGACCTGACGAAAGAGAACCGCGGGCTGTCTGGGATGGTGGAAGAAGGGGGTGGAGGGGGAGGGTCTCTCTCAAGCCAGGAGAGACCACCATCCTACTGGGCAGAAGGAGATACCTCCTACAGTAGGCAGGTGGACATCTGGAATGAAGGTCGAGAGCCGTTGATCCCCATTGATACTGTTTTGAGGGTCTCCCTCCCCCAAATCCCTCCACCCTGGGATCTAATGGAAGGAAAGTGATCAGAGTTCAGGGGGCAGGCCCTGGGAAGGAACCTGAACTATGGAACTCCTGGCGGAGTGTGGGGTGTGGACCAGAGACCTTAAACCCGCTTCGCCACTGGGGGAGGTGGGGTGGCATGCTCCGCCCCGCCCATTTAGCCCCGCCCTCCCTCCCAACAGGTTAACTGGGGGCTGAGCTCCAGCCCAACTCTCATATCTAGAACTGCAGCATATATGCGAGTAGAAGAGTGCTAAATTACCACTCCATCTCTTTGCTAAAGCTGGGGGCCTATTCCCTCCCTTGCGGAGCCGCTTTGACCCATGCACCCATCACATTTGAACATCCGAGGTCACAAGCCTCCCCCATCTCTCTCTCTCTCTCTCTCTCTCTCTCTCTCTCTCTCCCACACACACACACACACACACACACACACACACACGCACACTTGGAATCTGACCTTAGAATTGGGACTTTAGAAAATGGAGGCGGGGTTCTGCACTGCACCTCACCCCACTGGACACTGGCAGCTTCCAAGCCTGCAGGGACGACTGGATCTTGTGTGCACATGTGCTTGTCTCTGCATAGATGTAAATGTGTTTGAGGACTCTGTGTGAAAACACATGTACTTGACCCTTCTGTGAACATGACTGTGCCTGACCCACTGAATCAATGGCATTGCGTGCATGTCTCTACACATACCTGTGTATGTGCAGGACCCTCATATTGAATAAGTGTACAATCCTTCATGTATTTTTATTTTATTTTTTTGGCGGTTGGCCGCACATGTGTGGGTTTATAATTCTCCTCATCAATTTCTGAGGCTATGTGACTTGCCAAAGGGATGGGCATGTGAATACAATGTTACAGGTGAACATGAGTATGTGTGGGCCATTATGTGAACATGTGTGTGCACAAACCTAACTGTGTGTGTGTGAGACCCTCCTGTGAATACATGTGTTCACAGTCCTCCTTGTGAATGTGTACCTGTGTTCACACACACACACCTTCTTCTGGATCCATGTGAGTCTTAGAGTAAACCTGTGTAAGTGTGCCGTGCACCACACTCTGAGTGGTTCCTCTAACTTGTGGTGTGTTTCTCCTGCCCAATCCTAGAGACGGATCCCACCTACCTGGATCCCGCCTACCTGTAGGGCTCCCCCCTTTCTGTGCTGAGCAAATAGGAGGCCCCAAAGGTAAACAGGTGTGCCTCCACAGCAAGGGGTGGGTTGAGCATGGGCATCTTTCCTGGAGCCTCCTGCTGCCCCAGCCTCCAAACCAGGAACTGGTGGTCCAGGGACCCTCTTCTTTCCTTCTCATTCTACTCTGGTCTGCCCTCTGTGCTCTGCCACCACAGTGTTGACTTTTACCTCTTGAATAAACCACTCCAAATTCCTGTTATCCCTCTGGCCAGTTCCTGATTCCTACCTTCTCTCCAAGGCTAGATAGTTAATATTTGACCTGGAAGGGAGGGGAGACACCAGTGGCACCCTCTGGCCATGCCTATGGGTATCTGATGAAATGGGGTCAGGCCTCCTCCACACCTAGCCCAGCTCAGGAAGTCTTCAGGAGCCCCCTTGGAAATTAGGAGACCTGTTACAGGGGCTGGGAGAGGCCTGCCACCCACCCCCACCCCTTCCCCAACTGGTTGGCTTAAGGGAGGGTCCAGGTGTGGGAATAGTCTCCAAGATGTGCCAGGGGAGGTGGCCAAAAACTCAGGGATCCCATTGTTCACCTTCTCCATGTTGTTTATGTTACAGTTAACTGGGATTGCACACAACAACCTCCTGCACAGACATTACACTTGTGCAGCTAGGAGGACCCAGATACCCACCCCCCATGCCTGTGAGTGCCTGCGTACAGGTAGGGACAAGTGTGGATGCCTAACCAGAGGGTGCAGTACAGACTCGCATGAGCAGGGCAGAGATGTGCACCCCCTCAGAGAGGAATGCTAAGAAGTGTCTAATTAAAGAGAAATTCCAGGGGAAGCTCTCAGGCCAGGGAAAAGAAAAAACAAAGGGAAAACAGGACAAAATAAACAAAGGCCCATTAAACATCTCTGCTCAGTCCTTCCTGCATAAGGCACCCCCGCAGGCTGCAAGGGCAGCTGCTGTCCAAGTTGGGTCTTATTGCTGGCATTCTTTCTGAGAACCTGAGTTACATCGAGACGGGAGCCTAGCAGAGCTATTTCCTTGGGTTTGGGTTGTGGGGAGTCTAGGGTCTTATAAAGAGGGCAGGTTCCACCCCAGCCTCCTGCATCAGAGCAGAGATGGACAGACTGATAATGAGTTGATAGTGGTGTGGGAGTTCTATGGACGCTGGGCCTTCTCCATTCAGTACCCTCACACAAATCAAAGTTTTTTTCCTGTTGTTTTTTTTTTTTCCTACAGAAAACAGACCTTAGAGATTCAAGACTAGCCCTGCTGTCGGGGGCAGAGTGACCCTATTGATAACCTACAACTCCTCTATGTCTCCACAACTCTCTCTCACCATGGAGTTTGCATTTAATGTAGAAAGGCATGTGAACCATCCCTCCCTCTGACTTCTTAGGTGGGATTCCATGGCAACACAACCCTGTGACTCCATGTCCCCCCAATTCCAGGACCCCCCCTGGCCCCATGACTCCTTGGCCCCCATGGCCTTATGACCCCTGACCTTCCAAGTGACCTCCCTGGACTTTGACCCCTGTCACTGTTCTTCCCATCTCCCCCCTCAACCCTGTGATTCTGGCCCTGGCTCCCATTGGGGGTCTTGTTGGTCTGGGCCTCCCCAGGAAGATGTGGGGGTGGCTCTGGCCCCTCCTCCTGAGCTTCCTTGCAGCAACTGCAGTCCCTGGACCTTCGCTGCGGAGACCATCCAGAGAACTAGATGCCACCCCTCGGATGACCATTCCCTACGAAGGTGAGATCCTCAACCTCAAAAGGCGGTGGGAACCAGGGCTGGGGGCAGGGAGGCAGGCCCAGAACTGGGCCCACTGCTCCTGCTCTCCCCAGAACTCTCTGGGACCAGGCACTTCAAGGGCCAAACCCAGAACTACTCAACACTGCTGCTGGAGGAGGCTTCAGCAAGGCTGCTGGTGGGAGCCCGAGGCGCCCTGTTCTCTCTCAGTGCCCACGACATAGGAAATGGGGCTCACAAAGAGGTCAGTCCCTGGAACCTGGACCACTCAGAGGGTCTCCAGCCTCACTCATCTCCCTGGGACCTCAACTTCCTAGAAACCCTTTCAGCCTTCCACAACCCCCTGGTCAGACAGCTCTGCCCTTCCCAGCCCAGGTCTCCCTTGCATCCAGTGCTCTTCCTCAAATTTATCCCACCCCAATTTCCCCAGCTCCCTGGGGTCCTATTGCCTGGTCCTATGAGTAATAGGTATTGGGGTCAATGCATCAGCCCATTCCCTTTACCTCTGCTAGATCCGCTGGGAGGCCTCCCCAGAGATGCAAAGCAAATGTCATCAAAAAGGGAAAAACAACCAGGTATGTGGTCTGCCCTGTCCCCAGTTCTTTTCCTCCTTCTCCCCAGTTCAGAAGCCAGAGTTGGTGAGGACACAGGTGGAGAGGGACAGAACAACCAGTCAATCTCAGCAACCACAATAAATATCATTAAGTACTGCTGGAGTGGCAGGCCTTGGGCACAGCACTTCTAATCAAAACATATGATGGCCTACTAGCTTGGCCTGCAACAGCATCTTAATCCCCTCTGGGCTCCCGAATAATAATCATGATAATAATAACCTCTAGTAAGTGCTACTTAGCTATTATCTCACCTAATTCAAATAATCCTATGAAATAGTATTATCCCCCATTTTACAGATAAGAAAAATAAGGCTTTGGTCAAGGAATAGCGCAAGTACCTAGTATGCCATGGAGCGGTATTAGTGAAGTATCAACCCTTTCTGGCTAAAGAACAGGGTGTCTGCAGTGGTCCCATGTCTAGCAATATAACAGATCCATCTGGAGAGCTTTTAAGATATATATATTCCCAAGGTCTACCAGCCCAGGCATTCTGATTGAGTAGTATTGGGACAGCTAAGTGTAAAGTATTGGTATTGGTATTGGGACAGCTAAGTCTAAAGAGGCATCTCCAAAAGATTCTATCAAAGGCTGTCTCTTGGTGCAGCGTGAGTAAAAAATGGGGTTGGTGAGGCATGTGGAACCCAGGTCAAGGAGGACTGTAAATGCCATGCCGGGGGTTTGGATTTTATTCTGTGACAGTGGGCACCCACATAATTTGACACTTTAGAGGCTCTCAACTTTAATGTACACACAAATCACCTAGGTATATTAAAAATGTAGATGCTAGGCCGGCCCCGTGGCTCACTCGGGAGAGTGTGGTGCTGATAACACTAAGGCCACGGGTTCGGATCCCATATAGGGATGGCTGGTTTGCTCACTGGCTGAGCGTGGTGCTGACAACACCAAGTCAAGGGTTAAGATCCCCTTACCAGTTATCTTTTTAGAAAAAAATAAAATAAAATAATAAAAAATAGTAAAAAATAAAATTTTTTTAAAAAATGTAAACATCTTGGAGAAACATCACTATAGGAATACTTACCTGACCCCAGGCACTAGATGGATTAAAATAGGTGATTCTGAAGTCAGGAGAAGAGGGCATTATGTGGGTCAGAGGAAGGAGGTCTGAGCAGGTTGGTGCAGACGCCAGAGGGCTGCACCTGATTAGAAGGCCTGTGAGGATTCAAACTCTGGGTAAAGGCAGGAGGAGGAACCATTAACAAGGCAAGTCAGGAGAGTGGCAGCTGAGACATTTGATGGACAGAGAAGGCCAGTGTGGCTGGAGTAAGGTGAGTGAGGCCAGAGAAAGGAGCAGAGCCCAGTCATACAGGCCCAGGAGCATGTGGGACTCTATTTTCAGGACACTGGTGAGCCACTACAGTGACATGATCTGGTTTACATTTTTAAAATGTGCCCTGGAAAGCAGGTTGGAGGGAGCAAGAGTTGTGTTGAGGGTAGAATATCTCTAGAAGGAAACTCTAGGCAATGTAATAGCAGTCCCCTATGCAGGCCCTGGGAGACAAAAATAAAGAGGAGCCTCTCTGTTTACAACATATACCTTTGTACCTTTTGGATTTTATACTATGTTGCATGTATTCCTCATTCACTGAATAAAGTACTTTTTATAAAAAGAATGGCAGAGGGTTGGGCAGACTGTCAGGTTTCCTCTGCAGTTTTCTAAGGAAGAGGTGACAGCAGTACTTTGGACTGGGTGGTAGTGGTGGAAGTGAAGTGGATCAAGTCAAGAGACATTTGGGACAAAGAGTTAATCATGAAGAGGCACTGAATGTGGGGGTGAGGGGGTGGGAAGCAGCAAGGATGACTCCTGGTTTCTGGACTGAGTAATAGGATGGATGGAGTGAGTGAGGTGGGAAAGACTGGATGAACAGGTTTAGGAGGGAAGATGCAGGTTAGGGAGGAGGTGATGAGCTTGGCTTCTGACAAGGTGAGTTGATGTGTCTGTGGGATATCAGGTAGAGAAAGAGCTGGAGCCTGGGGATAGATTTGGTAGTGTTTTAGTCCATTTTGTGTTGCTATAACAGAAGGGCTGGCCCGTGGCTCACTCGGGAGAGTGTGGTGCTGATAACACCAAGGCCATGGGTTCAGATCCTATATAGGGATGGCTGTTTAGCTCACTTGGGAGAGCATGGTGCTGACAACACCCAGCCAAGGGTTGAGATCCCCTTACCAGTCATCTTTAAAAAAAAATAAAATAAAATAAAATAAAAATAACAAAATTACCTGAGGCTGGGTAATTCATAAAGAAGAGAGGTTTATTTGGCTTACGATTCTGGGACAGCTGCATCTGGCACGGGCCTCATGCTGCTTCTACTCATGGCGGAAAGTGGCAGGGAGCCAGCAGGTACAAGCAGATCACATGGTGAGAGGAAGCAAAAGAGAGAGAGAAGGTGCCAGGGTCTTTTTAAGCAACGAGCTCTCCCGGGAACTAATAGAGCGAGAACTCATTCATTAATCTCCCCTCCCTCAGGGAGAGCATTAATCCATTCATGAGGGATCTGCCCCCATGACTCAATCAGCCCCCAAGGAGAGCATTAATCCATTCATGAGGGATCTGCCCCCATGACACAAATAGCTTCCAACACTGTCTCACTGGGAATCAAATTTCCATATGAGTTTTGGGGGAACAACACATCCAAACTCTGTCATTCCACCCCTAGACCCCCAAAACTCTTGTCACTCTCACATACAAAATACAATTATTCTATCCCAACAGTCACAAAAGTCTTAGCTTGCTCCAGCACCAAATTAAGAGTCCAAAGTCCAAAGTCTCATCTGAGACCAAAAGCAAAAGTCATTCCAGCTGTGAACCTGAAAAGCAAAAACAAATTTATCTACTGCCAGATACAGTGGTGGAACAGACATTGGGTACACATTCCCATTCCAAAAGGGAAGAATAGGCCAGAAGAAAGGAGAAACAAGCCCCAAACACGTCTGAAACCCAGCAGGGCAGACATATCTTAAAGCTCCAAAATAATGTTCTTTGACTCCAAATCCTGCATCCTGGGCACAATTGGGCATCTGGGCTCCCAAAGCATCAGGCAGCCTCAGGAACTATCAACCCAGGGGGATAGGTTGGAGTTCCAGGATCAAGGGGTGTTGCTGAAAAGGAGCTCAATGAGAGGAGAAACATTTCAGGGTGTCGGGAGCCCCATGAGCTCCTAAACCAGGGGTGAAGGGGACCACAGGAGACACACGCTGGCAGAGTGGTGTCAGATTATCCACGGGATAAAGGAGAGAAGAAGGTCATGTCACTGGGAGGCCAAGGACAGTGAGTTTCAGGGAATATGCTGTGTTCTGGACAGTGAAAGCCAAACTACAAAGCTAGACTAATGGGGGAGGCCTCTAGCTAGACAGGGGGCTCACGGCCCTCCATCTCATCCCACAGACAGAGTGCTTCAACCATGTGCGGTTCCTACAGCGGCTCAATGCCACTCACCTCTATACCTGTGGGACTCATGCCTTCCAGCCCCTCTGTGCAGCCATTGTGAGTATACCTGCCCCCGGCCCTGACTGCTGATTCCTGACCCCAGACTGGTCTGACCTTGAGCCACAACCCCTGTGGTCCTTGGGACCACTTGCTGCTGGCCCTGTGTTCTCTAGGATGCTGAGGACTTCGTCTTGCCAACCAGCTTTGAGGAGGGGAAGGAGAAGTGCCCTTATGACCCAGCCCGCGGCTTCACAGGCCTCATCATTGGTGAGCAGGCCCTCCTTCCTACCCAGCCTCTGATCCACAAGCATGCTATCTTTAGGACCTGTATCTCATCTCTAGGATGTGCCACCCATGTGTATAAATGTACCCTGTTGTATATGTGACATGCTCGGCATGACCCTGCCCCAGATGGAGGCCTCTACACAGCCACACGGTATGAATTCCGAAGCATTCCTGACATCCGCCGGAGCCGCCACCCACACTCTCTGAGAACTGAGGAGGCGCCGATGCACTGGCTTAATGGTTAGGAGAATGAGGCACAGGATGATGGGGGATAGGGACTATTTCTTCATTTTTACTCCCTTGGGAAGCTGACTATCCCATCCCCAAATTGCCAGGTGAGCCTGTCCATTCCATTCCTGTGTGTTGCCAAGTGAGGGGTAGGTGCAGGGGGAGAGGTGCCTGGCCTATCTCAGAAGCCACCTGAACTGCCTGTCCCACAGATGCTGAGTTTGTGTTCTCCGTCCTGGTGCGGGAGAGCAAGGCCAGTGCAGAGGGTGATGATGATAAAGTTTACTACTTCTTCACGGAGCGTGCTGCTGAGGAGGGTTCCAGCAGCTTCGCTCAGAGTCGCAGCAGCCATCGTGTGGCCCGAGTGGCCCGTGTATGCAAGGTGAACAGGGTTAAGGATGGGGCATGGGTGTAGAGGCTAGACCTCTGATCTTGGCCCCTGATCCCTGACCATGTGCCCTTACCTTCCCAGGGAGACCTGGGAGGGAAGAAGATCTTGCAGAAGAAGTGGACATCCTTCTTGAAGGCTCGTCTCATCTGTCATATTCCACAGTATGAGACACTGCGTTGGGTCTGCAGCCTGGATGCCGACACTTCAGCCCGCACACACTTCTATGCGACCTTCACGCTGACCACACAGTGGTCAGTGCAGGGACAGTGGGGAGGCAAGGAACTGGGGACAGCATAGGGGCTTGAGTAGAGGTCAGTGATGATGAGATAGGATCAGTGATGATGAGATAGGATCCATTGTGGGGAGGGCTGGCTGAAGAGTGAGAATTTCAGGCACATCAAGCTAGCCTAGGGCCAGAGGCCACAATAGCCCACTGACCCACAGGAGAGGCCCTGTGGGCCTGCAATGGAGTTGGCCAGGGTAACAGTGGGCTCCAGGCTGAGCATGGGTCAGGGGGCAGGCTCCACTGAATGTGACTCAGTCCCCTCCCCCATGTCCCATTCCTAGGAAGACCCTGGAGGCCTCAGCTATCTGCCGCTATGACCTGGCCGAGATACAGGCTGTCTTCGCAGGCCCCTACATGGAGTACCAGGACAGTGCCCGGCGCTGGGGCCGCTACGAGGGTGGGGTGCCTGAGCCCAGGCCTGGCTCGGTGAGCACCCAGGCCTGGGGCCAGTGCTGAGTAGACAGAGCCCCTGGGAAGGGCAGGAGGGACTGGCCTTGCAGAGAGGATAGGCAGGTGTTGGAGTCCTGAGGCTCACTACACCTGTCCCCTACCCCAGTGCATCACAGACTCATTGCGCAGCCAAGGCTACAACTCCTCTCGAGATTTGCCGTCCATGGTCCTGGACTTTGTGAAGTTACACCCACTGATGGCTCGGCCTGTGGTGCCCACCCGTGGACGGCCCCTGCTGCTCAAGCGCAATGTACGCTATACACACCTCACAGGGACACCTGTCACCACGCCTGCTGGACCCATCTATGATCTGCTCTTTCTTGGCACAGGTGCATCTGACCCAAATCCTTAATCCCTATTGACCCTGATCATTAATGCTTCTGAACTCAGTGATTCCTGCTGTGACTCCTCCAGGCTTGGAGTTCCCAATGTCCTGAGGGCCCACTGCTGTTGGCTGAATCCTTGTCCCTGACCTCATCACGACTCCTGAGCTGTTCCCATTAGGCCTCTTGCAGGGTGCCTAGAGCAGGTCCCATTGTTGGAGTCTGACCCTCTGTCCTTTCTATGCCAGCTGACGGCTGGATCCACAAGGCCGTGGTCCTAGGCTCTGGGATGCACATTATTGAAGAGACACAAGTGTTCAGGGAGCCCCACTCTGTGGAGAATCTAGTCATCTCTCCAATGCAGGTAGCCCCTGACTTGTAACCCTCAATATGGCCTTGCTGGAATAGGGGGAAGGAGTGTGAAAGCTGGGCAGAGGCTACGTATGTGGCTGTAAGTGGGAGTGGGGGGCGTTGCCAACCTGCTGTCCTCTCTGGCTCCCAGCACAGCCTCTACGTGGGGGCTCCTAGTGGTGTCATCCAGCTACCGTTGTCCAGCTGCTCCCGCTACCGATCCTGCTATGACTGCATCCTGGCCCGGGACCCCTACTGTGGCTGGGACCCCAGCACCCAAGCCTGCATGGCAACCACCACCATAGCCAACAGGTCCCAGGGCAGTGGCTGGGAGGTGGTGGGGAGTGAGGGTCACTTGTGGCCCGAGTGGAGGACAAAGGCCTGCAAACATATAGGGAGAGGGGTCTAATTATTGGTAACAGCCCTTTAGACTTTTCACTGGGGAAATTGAAGCCCCAGTCTCCCTTATTCATGAATCCTGATCTTCTGTCTCCAGGACAGCACTGATACAGGACATAGAGAGAGGAAATCGAGGCTGTGAGAGCAGCAGGGATACAGGTAAGTGACATTCATGGATGTGTGTAGGTGGGGCTGCATAGTCTGTCCTCTGCCACTTACTGTCATTTGTATGTGCATCTTTGTATATGAATGGTTATGTCTGTGTGCTTTAGGTGAGGACCACCCAGCACAAAGCCTGGTACAGAGTAAGTGCTCAACAAGCATTTACTGCCCAAATGAATTATAAATGAGGAAACAGGTTCAAGGTGCAAAGTGTTTTGTCACTTCTGGAACTTATAGCCAAGTGGTGATGGGGGGTTGGGGGTCATTAGGCAATCAAATCAAACAAATAATTATAATTATTAATAATTACAACTATGACAGAGGTTCAGGAAGGTAATGGGTATTTCTCCAAGGAAGATGAGATGACTGAGCTGATATCTGAAGAACAAAAGTTAACAGTCATAGCTAACATATATTGAGTACATACTATGTGCCAGGCACTGATCTAAACACAAGTGTATTGCATAATCTTATTTATTCTCACAGCATTCCTAGGAGAGAGGTGCCGTTATTATTATCCCCATGAAGGACAACCTCTTGGAGGCACAGGGAGTATAAAGTTATTGACCTAAAAGGAGCAGAGTCAGGATTCAAATGTGACCCCAAGAAGTCTGACTCGAGTTGGGTCCCCTAGTGGGAGTCATCCAGCTACCACTGCCCAGCAGAGGGAACAGCAGGCAGAGGGAGCTAGGTGTATTCAAGCAACAGGAGAAAAGGCTGGAGAAGCAGGCATGGACCATGCTGAGGATTCTGATCTTCACCTGAAAAGCAACAGGAAATCTTTGAAGAGTTTTAGGCAGGGGAGTGGCATGATGAAATTTGTGTTTTTAAAAGGTCACCACACTGTTGCATGGAGAATGGATTAAACGAGGGCCTGAGTGGGCTGGCAGTTGTGGAAGAAGTGAACAGGTCTGAGATAGAATCTGAAGGCAGAATCTTGGTGAGGGTTGGACACAAAAGGTGAGGAAGAGAGAGAGTCAAGGGAGACCCCTCAGGTTTCTGACTTAGACAAGTGAGTAGCTAGTGGTACCATTTACAGTGGTAGCAATTCAAGGAAAGGACCTGGTATAGTTTGAGAGAGAGGCTTTGGCCTTAGTGAGGTACCTGAGAGACTTCACATGGAGATGCCCAGAACATGGCAGATATTCAAGTCTGGCGCTCAGGAGACAGGTCTGTGCTAGAGGTAGAGGTTAGGAGTCACTGGCAGATGGCAGGAATTGAAACCACAGGAGAGTACTGAGAGCATGGAGAGAGAATGGAAAAGGGCCCAAGGCACTGCCTACTTCCTGGGAAGGGGCAATATGAAACTTATGTGGGAGCATGAGCACAGAGGCTTGGTCAGCTATCACCATGCTTCCACATGCTGTGCTTAGTGCTAGGGACTTAACAGTGAACAGTGTGGCTTGCCATCTCAAATGCCCTCCCTGGGATGGGCAGGCATTTACCTCTCCCTCTCCACCAGGGCCACCACTACCACTGAAGACTCGCTCTGTGCTCCGGGGCGATGATGTCCTCCTGCCCTGTGACCAGCCATCCAACCTGGCCCGGGCCCTGTGGCTACTCAATGGGAGCATGGGCCTGAGTGATGGGCAGGATGGCTATCGTGTGGGCGTAGATGGGCTGCTGGTGACAGACACACAGCCAAAGCACAGTGGCAACTATGGCTGCTATGCTGAGGAGAATGGCCTCCGCACCCTGCTGGCCTCCTACAGCCTCACAGTCCGGTCGGACACTCCTGCCCCAGCTCCACAAGCCCCTGCCACAGCTGGGGCACAGCTGGCACCCAGTGTGAGGCTGTTCTATGTACTAGCCATTGCTGCACTTGGTGGCCTCTGCCTCATCCTGGCCTTCTCCCTCCTTTATGTGGCCTGTCTGCGGGGAGGTAGACGAGGGCACCGACGAAAATATTCACTGGGTCGGGCCGGCCAGGCAGGGGGATCTGCTGTGCAGCTGCAGACAGTTTCAGGCCAGTGTCCCGGAGAGGACGATGAGGGTGATGATGGGGAGGGGGCTGGGGGCCTGGAGGGCAGCAGCCTCCAGATCATCCCCGGGGAGGGAGCCCCAGCCCCCA